CACCCCGTCCAGGAGGGTTTTCCCAAAGTCTCTTCCACTTCCTAATTCTACCCATCTTGGCTAGAATTAGACCCAAAGTAGCAGTTCCTTCAAACCAAAGATAGGCAAGATCTCACAGAGGCCTCTCTGTCCAACCAAATGACATGGCCAGCAAGTGTCCAGAGGCTTGCAGATTCCGTCTCCACGGGGCCCGTCTTCGGGCCCACGTGATGACTGGCACCATGACACCTCCCTCATCTTCCCCCAGAGGCCATGGTCTGTTCGTTTCCCCCCCACCTGCTGATGACAGGCGCATAAAGCCCTCAAAGGGCGAGGACAAGCCAGGCACTGTGTCAACTGTTTCACGTAAATATCTCAGAGATTTTTCACAACGACCTTGAGGGTAGGTATTTTCCCATTTTACAAGGGAGGAAACTGAGGCTCATAGATTTACCATATAGCTAAAAGGCAGCAGAACAAAGATTCTAACTCATACCCATTAATCTCCAAAGACAGGGCTCGTCACCCCGGTCTAGATGTCCACCAAGGCCCTGCGGGTAAGAAAACAGGGCAGAAGGTTAGAAATGACGGCCATCCCAATGGCTCTGGGAGGTATCCAGACGCAGCGGGGGCCTCCACCCTGCAGGGCAGACTTGTCTGAAGCAGCTCCAGAAAAGAAGACCCAAGGAAGGCAGTGAGGAGCTTTAGAAAGCCAGGCCGGCCCAGGTTTGATCCCAGCACCTCAATGCACCAGCTGTGTGAGTTTGGACAAGTTGCTCAAGCTCTCTGAGCCTCAGTCTCTCTATCTTTAAAATATGAAACAAGAGCTTCAGCTTCATGGAGTTGTACCTGGCGCAGTGCCTGGCATCAGAGTTGGCACTCATTACACTCAATTTCCCTTTCCCCTGATTCCGGGGAGTAGTTGTGACTAACGCGGGCCAGGTGCATAATGGAAAGCACTAGAAATATCTGCTTAGCTGTGCAATTTGGGAGAAGGCAGATGCAGGCTGACATAAAGGAGAGCTAGCACCGAAACCATTCAATCCTGACAGGGGCTTCTTTTGGGGTAGGGAGTTTCTCATTGAAAGAGGTATGCAAGTCCACTGGGAAATGAGCTGGACTAGGTGAGTTCTAAGAACTCCTACAGCTCCAACAAATTATGAATCTATGAAATGCTCAGTGGATTTATGGGGAAGTATTTTTCCCATCAATTCCAGAAATGTTGCGCGTTTATTAGTAAGTGCCCACCTCCACTCACTGCTAATGGGATTATAAACTGACACAAACTTTTTGAAGAGTAATTTGACATAATGCGTCAGGAGCCTTAAAAACATCTACACCATTTGACCCTGTAGGAATTTGTCCCAAGGAAATAATCTGTAATGTGCTCAGAGATATAAGTACAAGAATGTGGCTTGTTATTTATAATAGCAAAAAAAAAAAAAAAAAAAAAGTGGAAATAATTGAACTGTCCAACAATAGAGGAATGGTTAAATAAATTAGGCCAAAAGATGGAAAACCATGCTTCCATTAATCTTGAGGATTTTCCCCACAATTATCCGTTAGAAGCAAAGAAGCCTCTTTAAATTCAAGTTCTTAGAAAGAGTCTCCCATTAAGTGCACTCTCTCTTACTTACTCCATTTTAAACAACAAAGTACTGTTTGGGGAAATCACATTAGCCCTCCCTGACCTCAATCAATGCTAGTTTGGGATGTTTAAAGAGGTCACCTGCCGGAATTGGCAAAAAGGATGCAGAAAAATTTAACAAGGATCTAGTAATTATGCTGAGGGTTATGACCTCACAGTTGCAAGTGTTGGCTGTGATTGTAAACAAGCTTTTCCAGATCACTTTTAAAAGCAATACAGTAAGTAGTTATGTTGTAGAGATCACTAGTACACACTTATGGGACAAATAAAGACTATCCTAATGTTCTGTGAATAGGTATTTGTGACTTGGAATACAATTTCCAGAGACAACGTTGCACACAGATTTTAAAAGAGCTGCATCTCAATTGCAAACAAGTTAGACAAGAAATGGAAAAGATGTGCTCTAGACAGCTATGCTGAGTAATTCACACAGCAGCTCTGGGGATGATTAAAGCACAAACGTCAAAGATACTAGAAGGCCAGTATCAAATGTAAAAGTGGGAAAAAAAGTAATCTTTCTAAATAGAAGCTATTTTGTGTTATAAGGTTTTAAACATCAATACGTAACTAAATTTATAAATTAAGCATTATGAGTCAGCATTTGATGATTTCTCTAAATATTTGTATATTCAAGTTGACCTCAAAACTTTTTATTGAAACTTCCATTTGGGGAAAAGTGGGTGTTCTGTTCTTGGCTACCATATATTTAGGCTCATAAGATATATAGCCATGGAAGAAAAGATCTGTGAGATAATATTAAACAGGAAACATAGTTTCTAGGTTACAGTCTGATTCTAATTTTATTTAAACACACACAACTGTGGACTTCGGGGAAAAATACCACAAAGAACTATGCCAAAATGTTAACAATGACTATAACTGGGTAGTGCGATTATAAAGCATGTTTTCTTTCAAGCTGTTTTTTTTTCTTTAAAATATACTGTTTCTTAAATTTTTTGTCATGTTTATTTATTTTTGAGAGAGAGAGAGACAGAGCCTGAGCAGGGGAGGGGCAGAGAGGGAGGGAGACACAGAATCTGAAACAGGCTCCAGGCTCTGAGCTGTCAGCACAGAGCCCGACGTGGGGCTTGAACTCGTGAACTGCAAGATCATGACCTGAGCTGAAGTCGGATGGTTAGCCGACTGAGCCACCCAGCCACCCCAAATATACTAATATTTTAACTAAGGGAGATTTTTTTTTTAATTTTTTAGGTTTATTTATTTATTTTGAGAGAAAGAGAAAGCAGGGTAGGGGCAGAGAGAGAGAGAGAGGAGAGAGAGAATCCCCAGCAGGTTCTACACTGTCAGCACAGAGTCCACCATGGGGCTCAAACCCACGAACTCCGAGATGATGACCTGAGCCAAGATCAAGAGTGGGTTGGATGCTTAACCACCTGAGCCACCCAGGCGCACCCCAAGGGAGATCATTTTTTTAAGTCTTCTGTAAAAGTGTCTCCTTTCTTAGATTCTCCCTTGGGGCTATTAGAATCTCTTTTGTTCCCATTCCCTCCCTAAATCTTTGGGAACTGCAGTCTGTGACAAGCCAGGAGGATTTTAATAGACACATATGCACTGACATAGGGAGATGTGCCTGACACAATAATGAGAGGGAGAAAAAAAAGCAGACTACTAAGCAAATATCAATAACTCATGTGTGATAAGATTCCCCCTCTGAAAGAAGAGGAGCGCGGGGAGACAGAGAAAGGGAGGGAGGGAAGGATAACAGACGTGTGTGTGTGTGTGTGTGTGTGTGTGTGTCTGTGTGTGATATACACAGACATAGCGGTAGGTCCAGTGGGGAAATCCCATACTCTTCTGTATTGTTCATTTTTTTTGGTGCATGTTTATAATAGGATGTAATCGGCTTTTTGCTGATTCTACTGAAACCGGGGAATGCTGAAGGCGAGTCCCATCCATTTGCATGGCTTCACTACTCCACAAAAGAAAAAAAAAATTAACCGGTATCGCCTAGTCCCCCTAAGCCTGGAGGGTACAAAGGAGTTTACGATGACAGCAACGAGCCGTGTGTCTGTGGCCCTGTCCGCTGTTGCAGGACTTCTAGCGTCTAAGAGGACACAGAGACACAACTGACCATGAAGAGCTTGTTCGCTGAGTGTTTTCCTGTGAGCCAGGCACCGTGCCAAGTGCTTTGCACGCAGTAACTTAGTTAACCCTTACCACAACCTTCTATCCATTTTACAGCCGAAGAAACTGAGGCATTAAGAGGGTGGTAGGTCCTTGTTAGGGCCACCCAGCTGCTGAAGGTGGAGGAGAGATCCAGGCGGAGAATCGGACCTCCTCCCATTTTGGAAAAGTCCTCCGTAGTGCTCCCTCCTAGCTCCCGCAGGGATAGCAAAGACAAGAAAGAACAGGCTCACAGACCCTAGATGTGGCCTCCTGAAGTCCTTAATGTAGACAATACGCATCCTTCTTCCCTGGGTGGGGGGGGAGGGGCACCGTGTCTGGCCCTCAGTGCTGACCCAGCCTCAGGGAGGACTGTCATAGTCAGTCTGGGGAGACGGGACCCCCACCTCGGTGCCTTAGTGCTCCGTTACTGCTGCAGGTGGTGGCCCTGCCGCCATCAAGCCATCAGCGAGACAGCCTGGACCTTCAGCACAGCAGGGCTGCTCTGTGCTCTCTGAAGCCCCCATATGGAGCTGAGCCCAACTGCCCTCCACCCTTCTGTGCCATGCGGCCTGACTTCGATGGTACACGCTGCACCCTAAAAACACCTCCTTGTTTCTATTGGCAGACCTCCAGCTCCACCTTCCCAGGACTCAGACAGGATTCCCCAAATGAGGACAGAACCACCCTTTCCCTAACACAATGCTAGTGGGCCCGCTCCCACCTCCCCAAGGGCACTTTCCCACCTTGATGGTTTCTCCAGCCAGCCTCCCTCTACCCTCAATCCTTGCCTGATGCTAAGCCCACATTAGCATCCAATAGAAACAGCCCTGCCCACATATGCAGCGTCACCTCCCCGGGGTGACTGGGTGACTCTGTTCAGCTGGGGCTTCTGGTCTGCGACCCCCTTTGGAAATAGGAGAAGGACCTAGGAGCCTCTGGAAACCACTATCCATTTCTCCTCTCAGATTTTATCTCCTCCTGGGTCTTCCTTTTGATCTTGTTTTCAAGCCAGAGATGAGCATTTCCACGTTGACTCAGGCTTGATTATAACTGACTCTGAACCTTTCTAGTGATTAAAGTAGCCGCGAGGCGATGTTCTCCAGAGATCTGTACTGCAGGTTGAATAATTCAAGGCATCCCTTCCAGAAGGCTGAGAAGACTGGGAGGGAGGAAAAAAAAAAACCAGAAAGCAGGAAACTTTTTTTAAAGAAAAGAGTAATTTCCCCAATGCCGGCGACACAATAAGTACTCGATAAACGTTGGTTAATTTTGATTGACGTAAACACTCCAACAGAAATCCAATGGAGAACTGGCAGTAACGAGCCTGGAGCAGGATACTGGAAGCTTCCAGCAAGTGGGGCACTTCAGGCGACTTCCTCCCTTCCCCCCATAGGATGATATGCTTGGGAGCTTCTGGTGTTTTCCAGACTAGGACAGAAGCATGAAATGAGGACAGTAGGGGATGGAGTAAGGGGCACCTGTCGCCCTGCTCAGCCTGATGGACTGACGCTGAGCCAGTGGAGACGGGCTCAGCCCAAAAGATGAAGGAGCTGTTTTCACTAAGGTTGATTGTGTGGGACCGTGGGTCGAGGCTGGGCTGCTTTGGTGCCCCCATGGCCAGGTGGGACATGGTGAGGAAGAGGGGAGGGACTTTCTCCACCTCAGCTCTGGCTTCCTGCGGCGGCGTCAGGGAGACGGGAAGCAATGGGAGGGCAGAATCGAGCCGTCTATACCAGGTAGAATGCCTGGGAGGTGGCCTTCTCTCTGAAGGTCTTCAGCGTCAGTAGCATTGGCCAGTTACCACCTTCAAATGGCAAGCAGAGGGCTTCCTGAGGAAGGAGAGTTGAAGAGGCATGGGTATGAGAACCAGCTACCATGGGCAGCCTCACATAATGAGGGAAGATTCCCGAGGGGAAGAGGAGACCTCTCAAGAGGCAGAGAGAGTCAGCGGCTCTTACCACCAAGGACTAATTGGACCGTGGCTGTGTTCGTACCCACAGGCTGGGGCAGTCCAGGGGGTTCAGGTTTTAGGACTTCCCGCCCAGGACTGGTCCAACATTTGGCATCAACATCTAGTGGAGGTCCCTCACCTAAGAAGGTTCTCGAATCCCCCTACCTGACTGCTCACATTACAGAAACTGAAGCCCAGAGAGCCTGGGTTGCCCAAAGTCACACAGCTAGTTAGGAGCTGGACAGGGTCAAGAACCGGGATCGCCCTTGGCCTCTTCCTAGTTCCCAGGATTGTATTTGTGAGAGAGAGACAGGCAGGCAGACAGACTGACTGACTGAGATTCCGCCCGCTGACCGAGGCCACACCCGTGCCTCACCCAGCAACTCGGGCCGGTGCGCTGTCAGCACATCACCTAGAGGGAAGGCCAGCTGCCACCGCTCCCTGAGCCGGCACAGTCAGCATCCACAGAACCAATTCATCTACCTGCACTTTAATGAGCATCAGATGCTGCAACCAGGGACCTGAAGGCCCAGAACATTCCAATTTCAAGCCCACTCTTTATAGTCAATTAGCTCCACAACCCCACACCCTGGAAACCCCAGGGCCACAGGAGCCACAGAGCCAGCAGCTGGGGCATCTCCCCACACACTGAGCCCCAGGCCCTTGCCGGACAGCTTCTTGGTGTTCCCACATCGGAAACGCCACCACTCCTGGGAAATAAGACGATTGGAAAACGGGGTCTAAGGTTGGTCCGGAATAAGAGGAGGCGTCTCAACAGCTCTGGGCAGAACAAATCATCGAGGAATAGACACACACTGCTTTCAGACCCTCCCTCCAAAATCGCTTCAGATTGGTAAACAAGCTTCAGTGAACTTGGGAACAGCCCAGAAGGGTTCAAATAGGTTAGCCGAGCCACACCTTCGGGTTCTCTGCGGGGCAGCCTATTTCCGCCCACCTCCTTCTCCCTCCACCTCTTGGAGCGACGAGTACTATGGCTCCGCCCCTATGGCCACTGGTGATTGGACAAGGGGTAGGCGTCTGGTCTGACCTGGACCAATCAGAGTCCCTTCGCTGCAAAGGGTGGGAAACTGGTGTTGGGGGTGGGGAGAGAGGAAGGAAGAGATTAAGTGTCGGGTGCCTGGGGATAGAAACTGTACCACGGGCCGTTTCCATGCACCCCGGGGACCAGAGAAGCAACGAAATCCTGGCTTCGGAGAAAGAAGCATGGAGCAGAAAGGAAGAGAGGACATCCAAAACCGAGCCCCCGTAATGTCCCGTCCCTGGTCCTCTGGAGCTCACAGACATATTTGCTCTGTTTTCTGCTGAATTGTTTCTCCTCTGGTTTAAACACCCTTAGGTCCTTCGACGGCCCCTCGTTGGATGTGATCTGGGATGCCGTCGCCGTATTAAACAGACCTGGGGTGTCTCTGTTCCCTCTCGAGTGGAGCATCAGGACCTCAGCCAGAGCCCTGGGCCCAAGGGCTGCCCGCAGCTGTGAGGAGAGGTGGGCCCAGCACCCCCTGCTCCTCTATTCCCGCAGCCGGGTCTGTTAGCCCTGCGGCAGCCACGCTGTGGCTCGGTTGGCTCATGGGAAGCTCACGGTCTGTTAAGACCCCCGTGTCTTTGTAAAGCCACATGTTCTCACTTTCCTTCATTTCACTGAAGTTAGCCTTTCAAGATGCTACTCTCTTGTCATCTGCCCCTCTCCATCTGCTCTCAGCCCTTCCTCCCCTGGCTCCCTGCCTCTACTCTGCTTCCTATTACACCCCACACTGAAGCCAGGGCAAGCTGCCGAAGACACATTGCTGACCGCTTTACACCCTGGGTAAGCCGTTCTGTGGCTTCCGCACCGTATAGGAGAGAGTCCAAAGCCCTGCGAGTAGCCACATGGTCTTCTGGGGGCTGCCGGCCCATCTTGCCAACCCGTCTCCCTCCTCAGCCTCCTCCGCCCCTGACAGACGACATCAGACCACACCCGGGCCACGCCTGTTCTCCTGTGCCACACCTGGACACGGGTTCCTTCAGCATGCGTTGCCTCGGTCACTGCATCATGGCAGGCAGCTTTGGAGTCGGACACACCGGCTGGAATCTAATAACCTTGAGAAACTTCACTCCCTCTCCCAGCCTCTGTTGCCTCAACTATAAATCGGTACTAAAAACCGCCTCCCAGCAGGGCTGTGGAGAGAATTTGAAATCATGGGCAAAGCGTCAAGTACAACATCTATAGGCACCTATAAAGTGCTTTGTAGGGCTACTAAGGTTTCTAGGTGTACCTAGAAACTTCCTATCCACATATCAAGACCCCGTTCAAGTGTTAGCACATCCGTGAAGCTTTTCCCCAGCCAATCCTAGAATCTGACAGAGCTCCTGCCTCTGACCTTGAAGCAACTATGCTCCTTCTAACTGTGTGTCCCACTATGTGACCTGCATCTAGGTCAGTCTCCCCACCCTCTTATCGGACTGGCACCCAGGGCAAGGACTGGGTCTGATTTCTCCCTACAACCCCCAGGATATGCCTTGTGGGCAGAGGAGATCTGTAGATATTTACTTAACTAAGTCACATCGGATCACTCAAATCTTATTGAATTCTGTCAGCCAGCATCCTCTCCCAGCTTTTAGAAGTTGGGCATCCTTCTTCATCAAAAACAATAATCATAGCTACACCCCATTGATCGCTTCCTGTGTGCCAGGCACTTTCCGGGTGTGCCTCTCATGATTATCTCATTTAGCCCTTCCGATCGTCCCTCAGGTAGGCACTGTAACTCACCTTGCTTTCCAAATGGAGAAACTGAGGCTCATAGACTTATGTCAGATGTCCCAAGTCAAGCAGCCAGGAAGCAAGAGGAGGCAGATCCGAGTCCATGTGTTCCGTTTCCTCTTTTTGCCTCTTTTGCCTCTTTTTTTAGCGTTTTATTTTTAAATAATTTTCGATTCATGGAAGAGTTGCAAACATGATGCAGAGAGTCCCCGTATGCCCTCCACCCAACCCTACTGGCGCTGACGTCTCCCTTAACCGCGGTATATTGATCAAAATTTAAAATTGGGGCGCCAGGGTGGCTTAGTCGGTTAAGTGTCCAACTCTGGCTTTCCACTCAGGTCATGATCTCATGGTTTGTGGGTTCAAGCCCCACATCGGGCTCCGTGCTGACAGTGTGGAGCCCGCTTGGGATTCTCCCTCTCTCCTTCTCTCTCTGCCCCTCCCCTGCTCTCTCTCCATCTCTCACAATATATAAACTTAAAAAATTAAAAATGAATGTTGGTACAACAGTATTAATGAAACTACAGACATTACTTGGATTCCCCCAGTTTTTCCCTGAATGCACTTCCTCTGTCCCAGAACCCAGCCCAGCACCCAGTGTCCCATTTACTCATTCCGTCTCCTGAGTCTCCTCCAGTCTGTGACCACTTCTTGGTCTTTCCTTGTCTTTCATGACCCTGGCACTTCGAGAGAGTAATGGATATTTTATAGAATGTTCCCCAGTTTGGACTTGTCTGGTGTTTCCTCACAACTAGTCTGAGGTTATGGATTTGGGGAACCTTGCACCATACTAGGGGTACATACTATCAACCTAGCCTTACTGGTGATGTTAGCACTGATCACTTGCTTTCTCCTCTGCAGTCACTATTTTTGCACACTTACTTTTTTTATTTTAATGTTTATTTTTGAGAGAGAGAGACAGAGTGCGATCAGGGGAGGAGCCGAGAGAGACAGACAGACAGAATCCAAAGCAGGCTCCAGGCTCTGAGCCATCAGCACAGGGCCTGATGTGGGACTTGAACTCACAAATGGTGAGATCGTGACCTGAGCTGAAGTCGGATACTTAACCGACTGAACCACCCAGGCACCCCACACACTTGCTTTTAACCAGCACGCTCTGATGCCCTTCAGTCCACATCACTGGTGCTGGAAAAGACTAGCGCCTGGCCGGGCAGGATGCTCACGGAGATGAGAGCCCAGAACAAAAGGATTCTGGGTCCCCCAAGGCAGGGCCAAAGTGTCAGCTGCCCTTCATGGCATCCAGAGCACCAGGAAGGGGCATTCCCCCCATGCTGGAATCATCGAGGAAGGCTTCCTGGGACCGCAGCGCTTTGGAGGGATGCGGAAGGCAGCAGGAAAGCATGGCCATTCCAGGCGGGGAACCAGCACCGGCACGGGCATCCTCACAAGGAGAAGCCAGCGAGGACGGGATCTAAATAAGAAGGCAGTGACTAGGGGCGCCTGGGTGGCTTAGTCGGTTAAGCGTCCGACTTTCGCTTGGGTCATGATCTCGCGGTTCGTGGGTTCGAGCCCCGCGTCGGGCTCTGTGCTGACTGCCAGTTCAGAGCCTGGAGCCTGCTTCAGTCTGTGACTCCCTCTCTCCCTGACCCTCCCCTGCTCACGCTGTCTCTCTCTCTCTCTCCTAAAAATAAATAAAACATTTTAAAAAAAAAAAAAAGAAGGCAGTGACTAGACTAAAATCACAGAAAAGGTCATCACAGCCATCCCTCATCTCCAGGCAGGAAGACTCTGTAACCTTCCCCAGTCCCTTCAAAACATCTCCACATTTGTAGCCTAGAAACTCAGAGCAATGGTTTCCAGATGGAAAAACTCAAGGCAGTGGAGCACCCCACATCTCTCCCAGGCCCCTCCTGCCTCAGTTCTCCCACCGCTCTCTGACACTCCCCCTGTCATTTGTCACAGCCGCCTTTGCTTTTAGATGCAAGCAAGCGAGCTAGTCTGAGCAGAGCCTCCCCACTGGACTGAGGGAAGGTGGGGACGGGATGGGGGGCGGGGATCCTGCTCCATCCTCCTCTGGTCTTCTCCATCCGGGCACTGAGCCCAGGGCCCCACACACAGTAGGGGCTTAGTAAATGCTTGTGGGAAGGTAGGAAGAGAGCAGACTCGCTTCTGCAAGAAGCTTTGAGGGGAATATTCTGAAAACATCCTGCGACTCCCACCAGCTTCCAATGCTCAGAAAATCATTTCAAAAACTGACGACTGTGAAATTTCAATTATATTCACAAGGAAAGCTAGAGTGAACCACAAGAAGCACAGAATAGTGGCTTTGCGTTTGAGAGGCCACAAAGGGCCTGAGAGAAGGGCCAGCCATGAGGCCAGACCTATCGGTTTCCAGAACCCAGCTGCACTTGAGCAGTCCTGAATTTATAGCCTATGAAGCAGGGGACAGCTCCAGGGAAATTAGAAGTCTATAAGGACGGGTAGGTAGCTGCCGTGAACAAGCTACCAAAAATAAGTTAGTGCTCGAGGCTGCATTAATAGGTGTATAACCTCCACACCAAAGGAGGTGATAGACCTGTTCTGCTCTATGCTGGTTAAACCACAAGAAAGGCCCTCAAGAAAAGCCAGCACAGCTTAAAGAGAGAAAGCAAGTTGTGGCCAGACTCGAGGCTGGAGAAGTGGGTGGCAGCCAAACCTACAAGGTCACATGGGTCATATACAATTTGCATTTTATCCCAAAAACAATGAGAAGCCTTAGTCTGTCTTTGCATATTGGCCAGAGACCCAGAGTAGGCTAAGACCCAGACCCTACTCCCCACCCACCCACACCATGGAGGAACTGATCCCCTATGTCCAGGAGGGACGCTACATTGGAAGAGCATCAAAGGAGCAGGAGGGGACCCCCTGAGCGTTGGTCATGAGATTGTGGCCCACTGGAGAATGCCCCTTGCATTCACTTCCGGACCTGGCCTTCGGGGATCTCAGAGAACCAGCGGCTGCTAGAAAAGGCTTTCTGCAGCAGAATTACATGATGTCTGTCTGACTTTTGGGGGGGAGGGGGGCTCATCCTGCAGCACACCGGGCATCAGCGCTCATCTCTTTCCTGCCGTACTTCCCTTAAAATCGAAGAAGTCACCACCTATCAATCCACTCGTCCTACAGCAAGTGCAGCCACGCCTCCCGGGCCGGCACACGGCGGGCACACGTCTGGGTCCCTAGAGAGGCCTTCCTAGGCATTTCACTGCAGCAAACACAGGC